ATCACAGACCGTGACAGACAGGCTTTGAACCCGTCACAGACCGTAACAGACAGGTCTCTGGACTAGTCACAGACGGTGACAGACAGGGCTCTGGGCCTGTCACAGGCCGTGACAGACGGGATCTGGATCCATCACAGACCGCGATAGACAGGTTTTCGATCCATCACAGACCGTGACAGACAGGGCTCTGAATCCGTCGCAGACCGCGACAGACGGGGTCTGGACTCATCACAGACCGCGACAGACAGGGCTTTGGGCCTATCACAGACAGATTTTGGATCCATCACAGACCGTAACAGACAGGACTCAGTGGTCATTATAGACTATGATAGAAGACTTTAAGGAAATATCAGAGATGATGCATAATTCACATATGATTGAAGCACATATAGAGTATTATCCATTTGAAAGTCTATAATATATGGTAAGCCATTATGAAGAAATGTACATCAGTATGCATAAAAAGCAACAGCTTTTAGAACATCGGCTATAGCAGCTACATCGTGTTTCACATTTTTAATCCCGCAACGGATTGCGCTAACAGCTTTTGTTAGATGCAGCCATCAGCTATACAAAATAAACAAATTATGCCTATCAAATGGCTTTCGACATGGCGAAACCTTTGTATAAAGAGGAGTACATCATTTTAAGACATTTTGGTTTTTGTTTTAACTCAGCTGTCTTTCTAGGTAGAGATCTGATTCTTTCAGCGGCAGAAAGATCTCATTAAGTACTATATCATCTTTAAAAAAATGCCAAGATTCGACCTGCTTTGGTTGAATTATAGCGAAACAATTTTTCCTCAGCAGACATAATGTCAAAGGCCAAAAAAGTGAGCTTCAAACTGCGTTAACTCCAAATTTGGAGCCCACTTACGCATCCATATTTTACCGTCATTTGGAGTCCACATTTTACCTCAAGGCCTATTCTATGGGGGTACCTATAAGTCTTCAAGGTCTATCCTATGAGAGTAACCATAGGCCCTGAAGGCCCTATCCTATGGGAATAACCATGGGTCCTCAAGGACTATCCTATGGAAGTACCTATTGGTTCTTAAGACCTATCCTATGGGAGTACTATGGGTCCTCGAGGCTATCGTATAGGCGTACCCATAAGACATCAATAGCTAGCGAAATTTAGTATTGTTAATTCTCCAAGGACTGTCTCGGTGTAGTTCTGGTTACTCTTGAATGGCTATCCGGTTGAGACGTGTCGTGTAACGCTCACTGTTCAAGAGATATCTAGCGCTATTTATCATTGGTCTTCTAGGGTCTTTAAGTGTAGCCCTGAAAACTTTGGTAAGAACACCGCTCACACGTAATCCATTAAGTAGTGTAGAATGTGATAGGAAAGAGTGGGTAAGACGGTAACGTAAGTGCCGTGCATTTTAGTTTTTCTTCCGCAAGTAAGGGTGGACTGACGTGGGTGTGAGTGTAGATGTGGGATGTAGGGTGTGGGTGTGGGTGGTGTGGGTGGGTGAGGGTGTGTGGGTGTGGGTGTGGGTGGGTGTGGATGGGGTGTGGGTATGGGTGTGAATGTGGATGTGGGTGTGGATGAAGACAAGATCTATACCTACACCCACACCCCACACCTCACACTTACACTCCTACTCACACCTCCACCCACACCCAACTACAAAGCCTTCGGAGTTTAGTTAAAATTTTTGAAGGTTTTGTATTAAACTCTCAAGGTGAATTGTTGAACCTCCAACGTTTTGTAGTTTTTCTACAAAACCTTTTTCTTCCCTATGAAACCTAAAAAAGGTTCAGAATTAAAGGCTCTTCCTGCGTACCCGGGGAAAAATTCTTTTTTGGTTTAGAAGCTCTCTAAACCTTCTTTTTAAAGCTGGGTGTGGGTGTATGCATATAGCTGTGTTGTTGAATAACAGAACAACATCCACATTCTCCATGACAATGTGTTTGCGCACGGTATCTTTAAGTAGTTTCTCTTACTAGAGTTGTAAAGATTCTCAAAGCAATCGGCGAATGGCGCATTTTCTCCACTGTCAACAATAATTCTTTTTTCTCTTAGTTACCAAAAACACTTCATGAGATCAATATGCGATTGAAACGGAGTTGTATTAACATTGTTTAACAACAATAGCATGATACTTCAGTGTCATTGCGAAAGGATATTTTTGAAGCTTTGCTATACAGAGTAACGAACAAGAATGCTAATAAAAAGCATTCTTAATCTTCGACTACCACATTAAGAAGACCTATTCGTACGAGTTAGAATTGAATGCTACTTTCAACTATTCCATCACCAATATCTGAGTAGTATCGGGGTATTTCGAAAGTTTGCACCAAAAAAAAAAACTCCCACAACCTTCAAACAGTTCAAGTGATATATATGAGCATTTTATAATTTAAAATGACGGTACCAAGCGAGAAAATATCTCCGCGCGATTACACTCCATTCGCTACCTAGTGTTTTTTTTTCTAATGAGAAAACTTTCTGAGTATGTATGATAACAAAGAACAAACAATGTACCAGAAGAAGAGCGGAAGTGACTAAAAGAAATGGAATTGAGGGCTCAGTTGGATGATTATGAAACATGTAATACAAATGTTTTTATGATCAAACTCACAAGTAAATAATAAAATAATTGATAATAATCACTTTGATGTCATACCACTTATGTATGATAGATTCAGAATTGCTTTATGACTTTGCTTTTCTACGACATTCATTTATTAATGATAAAGTACGGTCAAAGTCCAATAATGACGAATATTTAGTTTAGACCTCGATTTCGTAATGAAAAACAGTTAAAAGTGGAAATGAGATTTACACTAGACGAAAAGTTTCGTTTTGATATCACAAGATAGACAAATTTTTTGAAGATTTCATTGATATACATTTTTTTTTAAAATCAGCATCTGTCATATTTTTTCTTTGAGAATTCATGGTATCAAATAGTACAAAAACATTACTTGCTCAACCACTAAATCAGAAAATTTTGATGATCAATTTTTATCTACTCTAGTTCAATGAAAAATTTATCATTGATATTATGATATAACAAATTCTTATGTCTAGCAGTATGTCGATTCGTGCATACTAAGTTATTTCTCTTTGAAGAAATAGAAAACAGCAAAGCACATTTTCTTTGTCGTAACCAGTACTTTCAAAGCCACAACAAACTGCAAATGTTCATTTGAAAGATAATATATTAATAAAACAGAACGAAAGTTTCTGATTTAATCTAAGTCAAAGAAACAGATTATAAAAAAAACAGTCATTTTATCTGACTCACTCGTAATTTAAAGTTACATATCATACTATAAAAAGCACCTGGACTATGTTTATGATACATGGCTATAAAACAGAAGAATATGTATGAATGTTTTTATCTTCAAGTGTTCGAATTTTATTTGCTCTTTTTTTGTATAAAATACTACTGAAATAAGTGTAGAATATTCATTCTTATTTTAAAAACACAGTGATCTTCATTCTTGACCAATACAAGCCGTCAGGACACCTACATGCTGGAAAAATGAGACGAAACTCTTATCAAAAAAACAACGACGCCAGTGGTAAACGACAATCAAACGTCCTGTCTGTTTTCGTCGTTGGACAACAACAGAACGGTCGTCGCATGCGTATATTCATCAATACTCAACGTCGATTATTTCTCTCGTCGCAGATATCTTTGCCTCACAATACTGAATATCGTACACAATAACGACTACCACCCAATGGTCTCGAATACCAGAAAAATATCTTGCTGACGAACATAACAACAACAATCAAAGATAATCCTATACAGTTTCATCTTAAGTCAACTAAAAAATCAAATTCATTCCAAAATCGACCCATGTCTCATCGATGCGATGCTGTTGATAATGAACGAAAATCTGATGATGATGTAAACACATTTGATAGTTGACATGATCTCTTTCGGATCATATGACACTCACCCAAAGGTGGAACTCGCAAGCAGACCACTGTTGGAATTCAAAATTATTTTGGCAAGACTTTGACAATTTTCATTCATAAATAAGTCCGCTAGGGAATGAATGTTTTAACATTTGGACTAATATTTCTACTATTGACCTTCAATTTAAATAAAATTTCGAAACGTTTCTCCTGTATATCATGTATTCATTTATAGAGAAAGAAAGATGCGCATAAAGAACTGAATGAAGAAAAGCTGAAATAACTATTAAAAAAAATTATTGCATAAATATAGATGAGAAAAAGTTCGCCTTCACTTTTTCTTACCATTTAATACCCTCTTATATGTATCATAGCTGGAAGTTAAGAGCAATCACTGCGAAAAGATAAACATTTAAGCATACATATTTTTGTATATAAAACATATCGAGCATAGAAATATGCCATTAAATGAATGGCAATGATCTTATTCTGTTCACACTTGTATCACTATGATCTTTAGAGCTCTCTTCCAAAGACCTGATTGTGTTGAAAGAGATTTTTTCTTTGGCAACTCTGTCAATCAATTATTTGAACATAGAGTTCAAGGACGAAGTCAAGCAAGAAATTTGGGGGTGTGGGTGTTAGTGTGTTTGGTTGACTACAGTATCCAAATCTTACACCCACACCCACATTGTAAAGGTTTTTTATGAAATTTCATTGCTCGAAAATAATTTCCCATTACTTTATAATAATTACCAATACAGTTCAATGTTCGATCTATTTTTCGATGATTGAAATGTAATTTTTTTTTTAATTCATATGCTAAATTAAAATTTTTCAATGCTTCCTTCCAATTAGTTATTCACATATTTAGAGTACCGATATACTCATAGATTGAAGCTTGATCTTCAATGTATCTCTGGTAAGACTTGTAATAATCTTTGAAAATAAGACTCGATTTTCTCATATTGATTTATATCGAGTAACAACTGGTCAAATACTAGATTAATATTATCATTCTGGAATTTTTTTATCATTGTTTCAATTTTTTCTTTAATTTTATCTTTTACTTCATCAGTTGCTTTCATCTTAATCATATGTATTTTCAGGTCTGCATTCTAATAAACAATTTCAATTTTAAAAATTGAACCAATATTAAATAAGATTTCAAGTTCATTATAACAACCATTATATGTGCCAATATCAACAAAAATCGTATTTTGAAGATTAGATCCATTGACAGTTATTTCAAAAACAAAAGGTTTTGATTGATTAGTATTAGCAGCACCACTGAAAAATGATCCAGCAACATGAAAATTTTTTGATGTAGAAAGAAATCCATTTGTTGAAAATGAACCACCAATATTTGATTTCAAATATTCTAATTCATCTATTGACATACAAGATTGACCACAATAAAGTTTTAAATTTGTTTGAATATTTTATTGTTTATGAACTTGTTCTAATTGTTTACGTAGATCAATGATATAATAACGAAATAACTACCATAATGTTACATTTTCTGTTCGAAAAGTTCTATGAACTACTCTATAAAGAAAAGAATCTTCAACTTACCAATCAATTGCTTCATTTGATGTATATGTTTTTTATTATCACGATGAAAATCTTTACATCTATTCAACATAGTATTCATTGAACGTTTTGTTTGTTGCATTTGTGTGATTAATTCAATGAATACAGCATATGAAAAATAAGTATTATTTATACAAAAATCATTTAATGAATTCAATGGTCTCATTAATTTTAAAATTGGATGATTTAATAAATTTGATGTTAAGAATACTAATTCTTTTTTTATAGAATCTTTTAAAGTTTCATACTCTATAAACATGTATGTTTGAAATGAATATATCAATTATAATATTCACAAAATACAATTATTGAAATATTTTTCTATTTCAAATAGAATTTCATTAGCAAATGATTCAGATAGAACAAATTAATAATATTTTATTTTCACTAGTTATTGTTTTAATTTCATTTGAATATTGTTGAATTTCATCAAAAAAATAAACAATAATTATTATTGATTTCTAGTAGTAATAATCTTGTATGTAATGAATTAACAATATCTTAGTGGAATAGAGTTTGTTGATTTTATCATATTATATGTCGTTTGTTCACTAGTTACACTTTTACTATTCGAATTATCCATTAGAAATACTCTATAAAGAGAATTGCGGAAGAAATATATCATCTTTTATATTTGTTTCGTATTGGAAGAAGTTCCTGTGAGAAAAATAAAGCTTGACATTTTTTTCTAAAGAAGATGCATCGTTAAGTATTATTCGACGAAAATAATAATTTGCATGTGAAAAATACTCTTGTGAAAGTTCCAACAATATCTTTTTTTTCTCTATTTAAAACATGTTACTAGAAAACTTAAGATCTTGTAAAAGTATAAGCTTTGTGCATAATCTTTGCTTGATTAAAGCGACAAACACAATAGAGTTGCTTCAAGGATACGTCCTTTTTCTTCCTTTTTTTTTTTGATTATTTCTCTTTTTTCAGCTAGAACACAATTGATTGCACTGGAATTTTTATCATAAATAGAATATCGAAAAAAGACAAGACTTGCATTTGGCAAAAAAACGTCTTAAGAGAATGTCAGTCGTTTTTGAGTAAATCGTCTGTGTTGTTCATAGAGCCTCATCATCCTGCCTACTATCTTCATTTACTCTTATCGGACTAGACTGAAAACTTTTCTAGAAGTTATTTCACAAAAATACACTTTTCTTCATTTGTATTCAATAAATATCGAGGTATACTAGTCGAAGACTTAGTTTATGATCATTTAAATCCTATGAACTCAGACCAGAAGGCTAAAAATAAAAGTAGACTATTCTACTTATCGGATAAAAAAAATTAATTTTTCTGTACCAAAATTACTGAGATGTAAACAAAATACGAAAGCGTAATATTTTTTATGTTGGAAGTGTGACTCTCTTGTTAAGAAAATATATTGACTTGTAAAAAAAAATGTGCTGATTGTTATCATATGTTAATATCTAGAAACTAACTAATATTCATTACTTATAAATGGAGTGAAGAAAAAAAAATGAAATCAAGGAGAATGACTATAAGACCGTATCAACATTCATTTCTCGCATGACTGCTCATGTAAATGATGCACACACATTAAACACAATCAATCAAATATTTACAAAATCGGTTTTTTGCGTTGTATCTTAGAATTTTATAAATGGATTTCAATGGCGTAGATGTTTCACCCGACGATTCTGCTCTCATTAAATATAATAGACATGACCGAACACGTCGAAATAAAATAATTCTAGGAATTAGTGCAAGCTTAGAACTCTTGCTCGTTATCTCATTTATGAGTACATCTATATATATCTTGATGAGCAAAAAGCAGGTGTCATCGCCATCTACAATTTTGATTACAAACTCTACAGTAATACCAACTATATTACGTCCTGGGAGTGATGAACACTGGTCAACCAGAGGTAAGAATTATGTTATTTTATACTCTGTAGAAAAGTAAAGTGCGAACTTTCTTCAATTGAAACTCAAGAGGTTACAAATTTAAAAGTTTGCTTAAATAAATTAGAAAATTAAGCCAAAGATTAAAGATAATGAAGTAATATTTGTAAATTTGAGTGAATTAAGCATTCTTTATAGATATAATACGACGTTCTTTTTTTCTTTCTAAATAACTATCTGTTTCACGCTCTATTAAGTTTGAAGAAACAGAATTCCTATGAATAGAGACATATTTCCATGTTGAAAGAATGAAACACAAAAGAGACTACAAAACAAAATACAGTTGTTTGTGTTTCATACTCTTATTGATCATAATCCTACTTGAAACTACTCATTACAACGACTCATTTATAGATCAAAACATAGTCTGTAGAAAAATCACAAAAAAGTGCTGTCTATATTGATGTATCAGGCAAACTTAAAGGGTGTGGCTGTGGATATCAATCTTGTGATCGCTCATATCCACATCTGCATCCATACCATAGTTTTGAGTCTAGACGCGATTTTATTTCGAACCACGTCTAGATACAAACGAAATGCAGTTCAGACACGGTTTGATACAAAAAATATTTATATGGGCATGGATTATGTGTCCACAACAAAAGTTTTTACTAACATCACCTACAAAATTGATCTAGTTTAAAAAATTGTTAATGTTGAACAATTTTCAAGTTTTTTTCAAATCTTTTTGTTAAGGACATTAATTAGTGCATTATATATATTACTGTATTTTTTTATGCTTCACATAATATTCGTACTTGATGACATAGAAAAATGATTATGTTCATGAAAATATTAATCTATTGATAGAAATGATGAACTTTTTAATAAGTTTTCATTCAACTTAATTATGATTTTGTTCTCTGATTAGAAGCAAATTTTCTTGAGATTTATTGAAATATCTTAATGAATTTGTCTATTTTGGTTTCTGAAAATCACTATCGGAAATCTCTTCCAATACTTTTATTACACAACCAAAAAGAAAGACAAAATAAATGCATACTATTTAATAAAATATAATAAACAAATAATAAATTCTGAAATATTGGCAGTATTTAAAATTGAAAACAATACAGTTTTATAGAAAAAATATCCTTTAAGGTTTTTTTAAAAGAAAAAATTTTCAGAAATTAGGAAAACTTTGTAAATATATACACAATATATTTTATGCGATTTGGTTTTTCATATAAGTATATCATTTATACAGGAAGCATTCTATTCATAAACTTAGGACATACCAGAAGTAGTGATGGTCGCCTCTCAATTTTGTATAGAAGGCTTGGAGAAACTTTCTCTCTATATTTTTATGCTATTTGATAATACTTCAACTAATATTATAATAATGAAATTTCGACAAGAACTATTTTTGTTGAAACTTAACTAATGGGTAAGGTAGATTAAATATCTAAACTTTACCGTTCAATTTTCCATCGATTAATACGTTGTATTAAGAAACCAAGCATACCAAAAGATGCAGCGTGAGAAGCTCTACAGTTTATAAAGAACAGTTTATTTTATATATGAAATAAGAAAAAAGAAATTTTTCTTCATGTAGAAAAAAATCATTTTTTTTAGGGCAGTGAAAATTGGTCGCACAGAATTTTGCTTTTTTTGAGAACAAGAAATACACAATTCAAACAAGCTTTACTCTCTAGATTGTACAGGGATGTGTAAAAATGTTTTTCCAGCAGGGTAATGCTGTGATTTTAAACATCAACAATAACAAATTTTATAGCAAATGGGCACATCTTGAATCACATGTCAAAATGCATGCATACTTTACGATTTTCATTCTTCATACACTATTTTTTCACAAAAATAATAGCAGATTCGTAATCTCCATCAAAAATTGAGTCTATAAAAATGTCATTTGAGTATATTTGACGAAAAAAGAATTTTTCGAAAAAATACTGGTGGTATCCTGGATGCACCTCAGATAAAAAAGTTCTAAGCATTTTTAAACTAAAACATTTCCATTTATACATTACTCTACACAGTTTTTGATGGAGATTACGAATCTACTATTATTTTTTGTGAAAATATGTACATGAAGAATGAAAATCGTAAAGTATACATGCATTTTGGCATGTAATTCAAGATGTGTCCATTTGATATAAAATTTGTTATTGTTGCTGTTTAAAATCACAGCATTACCCTGCTGTAAAATAAGTGTCTTATATAAAAATGGTCGAGCTTTTCACGCTGCATCTTGCGGTATATTTCGCCTTTTAATACAATGTATTACGTGACTGAAACATATAATCTGCCTCACACATTAGTTAAGTTTCAACAAAAACAATTCTTATCGAAATTCTATTATTATAGTTGAAGTATAATCAAATAAAGGGTGAGTAGAAAGTTCCGACCTCTCTTAGTAAATCGATGGTATTTACGACAAACTTATATATAGTTAATTGATCGAACTATGTAATTTTTACATTTTTTGAGAAAAATATTTAAAAAAATCTTTTTCGATAAAATATCTAGATGATTTATAAGTTTATCATAATAGATATTTTGTAAAAACAACATTTAGATATTTATCTATTCTCTATTAAACAAAATAGAGAAAAAGTTCTTCCAAGTCTTCGATACGAAATTGAGATGCGACCGCCACTATTTTTGGCATGTCTTAAGTATGTATTTGTAAATAAGATATGAATTCATGATTCATATATACTGTCTATTTCATTCCACAATGATTCTGATCACATGTGACTTCATGGTATATATATGCTTGCTTCTTAATTGCTAGTTCGCTTCTTCTGATCTCATTTATATCATTTCAGACATATCAACATTTTTATATTCCGTTCGTCTACAGTGAAGTAAAGACCATCGTTAGCGAATGTCGACGGCGACTCATATCAAACCTGAGACAGATTGTAAGATTTTTTAAACTTTCCAATATCAAGTCAAACGTGTCTAGACGCAAACGAAATGCGATTCAGATACAGTTTGATTCAAAAAATATTTACATCGGAATGAAGCTGTCAGAAACTTACAGCTAGAACAAAATCACTTGATCAATAATCCAGCTAGTATGAAAAGACTTAGTAATCAGCTTTTTTTTACTTAGTTCTCGCGAATCATTGAGTTTTGAATTGTCATATATCTATGTTCGATTTAAACAAATCTTTAATATTCGATACTATATTTTTAATATGTCATTGAGTCAAAAGATTTTCTATCATAAGATTTGAGATCCTTTTTATTTTGCTAAACCATGAAGTATGTCATTTAACCATTAGACAACATCGTCTTAAAAGATTCTGTTTGAACAGTACAAAATCTCTTCACGTATAGAGACAGCCCAAAGAAGGTTCACAATAATTATAGGGTATAGTTTTCATTTGCTACATCCTAATATGTCATCTCTATGACCTTGGATCCTATACGAATTAATGACACAAGTTTCTTCTAAATTGAATCTAATAAATATTTACTATTAGGATTCTTTAATACTGGTAGTATGAATTATCCACGATATCTTCATACAGCATCGGTATTAACAAATGGAAAAGTATTAGTTACTGGTGGATGGAATGATGGTGTTAGTTTAGATAATGCCGAGTTGTATGATCCATCGACAGGAGTGTGGAACATCACTAATAACATGAATTATCCACGAAACCTTTATACAGCATCGGTATTAGCAAATGGAAAAGTATTAGTTACTGGTGGATGGAATCATGGTATTTTTTCAAATCGATCTGAGTTGTATGATCCATTGACAGGCATGTGGAACGTCACTAATAATATGAATTATCCACGATGGTATCACACAGCATCAGTATTAACAAATGGAAAAGTGTTAGTTATTGGTGGATGGAATGATGGTGTTAGTTTAGATAATGCCGAGTTGTATGATCCATCGACAGAAATGTGGAACATCACCAAAAATATGAATTATCCACGATATCATCACACAGCATCGGTATTAACCAATGGAAAAGTATTAGTGACTGGTGGAGATAATACGGGTGTTTTAGATAGTGTCGAATTGTATGATCCATCAACAGAAGTGTGGAATATCATTAATAATATGAATTATGCACGAGGATATCACACAGCATCGATATTAACAAATGGAAAAGTGTTAGTTACGGGTGGATTGAATAATGGTGTTAGTTTAGATAGTGCCGAGTTGTATGATCCATCGACAGGAACGTGGAACGTCACTAATAACATGAATTATCCACGATACTTTCACACAGCATCAGTATTAACAAATGGAAAAGTGTTAGTTACTGGTGGATTGAATGGTGGTGTTAGTTTAGATAGTGCCGAGTTGTATGATCCATCGACAGGAGTGTGGAACGTCATTAATAATATGAATTATGCACGAGGATATCACACAGCATCGGTATTAACAAATGGAAAAGTGTTAGTTATTGGTGGATATGCTAGTGGTAGTTTAAATAGCACTGAGCTATACCAACCATAATAAACAAATAAACAATGAAGATTTTTTTTTCTCTTTTGGATGAATAACCTTGACTATGAGAAGTATTTCAACATAAGAATTATTGATTTACTAATATTGAATTATTTTTTTCAATTCTTTTTGCATTCATCGTATCTTTAATAAATTTGAAATCCTTCTGATGGTGATCACTAAAGTAACCCACTAATTATACACTAAAAGCAAGGAATGTAAGTAATCTGTCCTTATTATTGAAGTGTTGTCATTTCCAATATTTCAATATGGGTTCCGCTACTTTTTCAATGATGTTTTTGAAAGTGCTATATGTAATGAAGAATTATTAGTCATATGAACCTTAATAGTGTAAAAAACACTTAATTAATTTGTTCATCATCAATATTATCAGTTCAAATGATAAATGTAGTCTGTTTTTTATTAATGTTAATGGTTATGTGAAACAATCTAAATTTTACATTAATTAGTTGATGTTCAAAAAAGGTTTGCTCCTACTATCCATTTCAAAATAATGGGCAGGGTTAAAGATCACTAAATAATTTCGAAATGCAAGCAACTAACAGTAAACGATCTTTTCATTTGAGAGCCAAATATAGGGCAAGTAAATGTATGAAAGAGAAAATTTTTTTCGATCTGTTTTTAAGGGTTTTTAGAGAATTTTCTGGAACACTTTAGGTTGTGGAAGCTTTCAATTTTCATTTTTGCGTTTTTTCCTACAAAATATGGTAGTGCAGACACGTTAACATATTTCTACACAGCTAGCACTATTTTTTATCTTGCATTGAAAAACGCGAAACCTATGCTCGAAAGAGCGAAACATGGCATTTTTAATGGTTTTCATAATTTTTTGGCCTTTGATCGGAGTCAAACTGTCCAATAAAGTGTATATTTGAAATCAGCGTCAAAAACTGCAGCGATTAACATGTCTTTGAGGTTCATTTGTTCATTTTTATTTATTTTTTACCATGTACACCTCGTAATTCAAAGAGTGACATGAAAGTATAATGAACAAATGAAAGTGATCAAATGAACCTCGTAGACATGCTAATCAATGCAATTTTTGATGCTGACTTCGAATATACACTTTGTTGAGCAGTTTGACTTCGATCAAGGGTCGAAAAATCATGAAAACTATCAAAAATGTTATTTTTGGGATTTTCAAGGATAGGTTTCGCGTTTTTCAACGGAAGGTGAAAAAGAGTGCTGGTTGCATAGGAATACGTTAACATGTCTGCACTACAATCTTTGATAGGAATAAACGCAAAAACGAAAATTGATAAGTGTCACAACCTCAAGTTTTCCAGAAAACTATCGAAAATTTTTTTCCTCTCTTAAAAATTTACTTGCTTCATATTTGACTCTCAAATGCAAAAGACCGCTCGTTGTTAGCTGCTTGCATTTTGGAGTTATTTAGTGATCTTTGATCCTGCCTATTATTTTGAAATGGATAGTAGTTGCAGATACCACATACACGTCCTAGCTTGTTAAAAGAGATACTTCTCAATTAAACATTCTTTTAGTTAATAGTTATTCAAACATATATTTACAGCTATTTTATCATTTGAATAGCTGATTCACTTCTAACAGAATTGAGTATTTTATTTTATACTTTGTTGTATGACTACCTATTTGAAATTCGTATATTTATTTATTTTTTCTTGAATAGTAATCAAATCTTTTAAATAGCTATGGTAGGTTTTTAAGAATGCTAGGTTTATATAAAAGCCATCTCCTTTGAGAATGAGCCGTTCAGATTACCGGTCAAATTTAACAAAATTCAGATCTTCGTCAAACAGAGTGTGGGAGTGGGCATTGCTAGAAAGGATAGTGACATCCACACCCAATGACACCTATTTCGATTCAAAAACAAAATATCATATTTGGAATCAACACGACAAATTGAGTTGATTTCTGTATCTTTTTAAATATTTTCTGCAAGTTTTTTCTGATCACATTTTCACCCCTGGTTTTTCTCAGGGGTATGTGAGAAAATGAATTTAATCAAGACAATTATATTATTGTTTAGTCATCTGTCTTTTTCTCTTCAAATAGTATTTTACCAATTTAGAAATTGCTTTGCAGTGTCACAATTACTTTTTTTGATTAAATTAATTTTTTCACACATCTGTGAGAGAGAGGCCAAGGGTGAAAATGTGATCAGAAGAAAAGGTTGTAGAAAACATTTCAAAGATACAGAAGTCAACTCAATCTATTGTGCTAATTCCAAATATGATTTTTCTTTGGAATGAAATGAGTATTATAATGCTCGAAGAGTTCTATTGATTAGGAAGTAAAATAAGTATGGAGAAAGCTTGATTGATACAATAATTAAACGACAAATAGAATGTACATGGATATTTCAGACTCAAAATTTAAGCAATGAAAAATTTTGTATACAGTCTAGTATATTCAAAGATATATCCTATTCACAATTATGAGTGAATCAAAATGTCTTAATTTTACCATAAAAACGATCAGAAACTTATGATTTTTTCATCCCAAATATATATAACTCAATTAGATTGGATCTTAAAAATCAAAATGGATCAAAATGTGTTCTAATGCGCCTCCATCTTTTTTACAGTCATTAACTTGGCAACAGAATATAAGAATTGATGAAGTGAAAGGAAATTTCATTTTCTTTCACGAATAGATTCCCAAGAGATTTCCTCATTTGAATGAAAAAACTTCTGATTTTTTCAGTCAAAATTGCATGTTAAATGTCTGATGTTTTCCAAAAGAACATTCGAATTTGCCAAGCCTATTATCAATAAAAAGAGAACATTGCTATTAAAAATAGAAAATTCTAATAGATTTTTCTATTTTCTAGAATACTCTATATGAATTCATCAACAATATAAAATTTCGTTCATTAATTTGTACAACATCTTCTAATTTATAGCGAAGGAGTGTTCAATTTTAAAGTTAACCATTGGAGTTGAGAACATATATTTACAATTCTAATTAACTTTTGTTTATGAATTCATTTTTTCGACATAAATGCTAAAAAAAAACAACGAATGATTTATTTCTTTAAGATTCACATAATGAATCCGCTCATTTTGTAGAGTTGTGCTTATTAAAAAACTTTTTCTTTTCTTCACAAGCACATTTTTATAAAATTGCCTAGTAAAAATTTATTATTTATTAAAGAAAATTTTTGTTTTTCTTTCTCAATTCTAGTGTTTCAGATGAACAGAAGCATAAAAAAATAATAATGAATCAAACTTTTTTTATAGTCATGAGTATTTTATTTGCTTTTTTTTATCTAATAACTATTATATTTTCATTATTGACTATTATAATTATTGTACATCATTGTCATTCTCAACGTTGGTCAATTGTTAGTCTTTTAACATGCAATTCTTGTATTAGTCTTCTAGTTTATACGATTAGTTTTTGTATACAATTTTCATCATTAATTCAAAATACTTCTCTTAATTCAGAGAATAAAAATAAATTTTCTTGTAAAATCGTTGCTTGTTTAGGAACATTTGGTGTTACAATTCTATCGTATTCTTCTATGATTCAAGCGATATCTCGTTTTTTTATTATAATTCTTTACAAATATCAAATTCTTCTTACTTTTCGTATTCATTGGATAATGATCATTATTAGTTGGATAGTTAGTGGTATTATTGCTGGTAGTTTACTTATTTCACCAGTAGCTTATCAATATGAAGATGAATCTCGTGTATGTGCTTTGACAAGAAAAAATTTTCTCATATCATTTCTATCTATTATCTTCATTTTTATATTTCCAATGATTATAATAACTATTCTCTATGGAATTATTATTTGGCATATAAAACAACATAATCGTATTGATGTGAGAAGTACAAATATATTACGAGCGAAGAGAAATATAACAGTGTTTAAGAATATTTTTATTTTTACAAGTATTCTTGGAATCGGTGGTACACCTTATTTAATCTCTACGATTGTAAATCGAATAGTACCAATTCCATGGCCATTATATTCTATTTCATTTTTATTCATTGCATGTACTTCTGCTATTGGATCCATAGCAATTTTACTTACAAATGTACAATCTAAAGCAATTTTCTGTACTAAATTTCGTCGTCGTTGTCGTCAAGGAATTGTAATAAAAAAGCCAAGAAATAAAAAATTAATTAAAATCAATCCAATTGCAGTCTATTATAATAAAACAGATGAAATTGAAATATTACCAGCGAACAATTAGTTTTATATAGATCAATTTGTTTATCATATATACACATCATTTTTTATTGATCTATATGAATACTATTAAGAATAAGCATGTTGAAAATGTTTTTTTTTCTTTGTTTAATAAAAGAGAAAATTGAATTGTCTAACAACTAATGAAAAAGTTCGTGCAAAAGTATTTCTTCTATATGCTTAAACATGTTTTTGAAATTAGTTTTTCATAATGTATAGTGGTATGCCCACAGGAAGGTCTCGATAAACCTAGAAAAATTCGAAAAAAGTTCGTATCCACGAGCATCTAAAGTCAGCTTATGAGTGTTTTACTAAATTTTCGATGTTTACTGGAATATCAAATAACAGAATTTCGATCTTCAATTTTGCCTATAGATAGGTCTAATGATCCTTGCACTATCTTCAAAGTTTTAGCTGAAATGAATATTCATTTCAGCTAAAATCATCAAGATACTCTAGAATTTATCAGACCTACCTAGGAATGAAATTGTAGATCGAAATCCTGTTATCAGACATTCCAGAACATACCTACAAAAGTGTAGAAAATTTAGTAAAACGATTACAAGATAGATTCAGAGGTCCATGTCTAAATATTGTGGGTTATGGTATTTAATACGACAAAAAGATTTCATTGTAGGTATCAATCAGTAGGAAGGTGGTATAATCAATTAAATTATTGACTTTATTCGTGATGATTTTTCTAACATATTTTTTAATTATCTGTTCAAATCAGAGTTGTAATTGGTAACGGTAAACGGCTCGTACGGTCCAATCCGATCTGATCGAGAATTTTTGACCAGTTGGTACTTTTTTTGACTTTTTAGACTGTCTTTTTTTACAAAAATTATTAAGAAAAAAGTGGTTTTTTAAGAACCGAATGCTGTCATATATTTATTTTTGGTCCAATAGTCAAAGCTGCATCGAAGTATTCTATCATACTGACTCCGCCAAACTCTAATAATTTTTTAAGAGGTACTTCATTAGTGCTTTTGTAATCCCATTTTGATCACAGGCCTTTTTGTGAAGATAATTATTTAGTAACATACACTTTGTTGATCATACTGTTGATTTTTTTCTTAATATAAAAAGAATCATTTTGAAGACGAACATCTTGTATTCTATATTATACAAAAAATGTGATTGACCGAAACGGCTGATTTAAACAATCCTAATTTGTCTTAGTTCCTTATATTTGCGAAAAATTTTTTTCGAATTAAATGCATCAGTTTGCATGGTTTTTAAAGATGAAAAACTAGAGAATTACTCATACCAGTCGACTGGTACCGTTACTGGTCAGGAAAAAAGCTCTGATCAGTTGCAACTCCGAGCTAATGTTATAATCATTGACTGTTTCAATATATGAGACAATGACCTCAAATGAACCAAAAAACATAATCGCTGATTATGTCATTGTTACTCTACAAATGCTCATCATCATCTGTATGACATGAATATACGTTGCATTACAAAAGAAAAAAATTTTTGATAAGAGAAATGAAACTATTAAAACCACGTCTATCTAAGTTGTTGTTCTTCTCTCAAATCTTTTCAAAATACAAGCACAACAAACTCAAAAATAGTGAGAACTGCACACTCTCTGTCTCTGTAAATTGTATAACTTTTCTAATTGACTGATGATTTGTTCCTTGTTCTAACTAAGAGTTGTAGAGAATAGTAAAATAGCATGAGAACATTTGTTTGAGTAGTAACAATCAATGATTTAGATGATATAATAAGTTACATGTGCTTAAAAAAAAACAAACAAACAACATAACTTCAAGTCAAAATTATGAAAACAAAATAATTCATTATCAGTTCTATACTACATATAATTCCGATAACTGAAAAACTGATTTGATATTTTGTTTGGTTAATTTCTTGAAAATAGATTCACTTTATTTAAATTTTCTTGCGCTC